ATACAAAATATATTAACTTTTTTGCATAATTTTGGAAGTATCAAGTGGGGCTCCACTAAGTATATAATTTAGTAATAACTGATCTGCTTTGATAAAGATGTTGAAGTTTTAGAAATACAATTGTGAAGAAATGAGGACCATCAGCAGCATGTGTGATTTTTTTTGTTAATTTTAATATTAACATAAATTTAAACTCTCCTAAGATATTAAATTATTACAACTAAACAAAAGGAGCTAAAAAAAAATCAAATAATTTTCGCAAAGAATAAGAAATATATGCAGGCTTATATAATAATTTAGGACTCCCCATAAAATTAGACACAGCTGTACCGCATCAGGTGGATTTGATCATAATGTCTTTATTCAAATTTATTTAATTGTCAAACAATAATTTTAATGAGCTTAGCTACTGAAGAACAAACAGCTGCCAAGAAGCCCAGACATTGCCAGCCAAGTGAGTTGACGCCTCCAATAACCTCCAGATATCTTCACAAGAGTTGCAGCATTTTCCTGCTACTGTTTATGTAAAACTGCATGCCCCAATCAGAAGGAGACTGAACAAGTTTAACTTTTATGGATGACATGCAGGCTTAAAATTGGCCAGATGAAAGTTTGCCAGAGAAACTGATAAAGGCCAGGACTTCGAGAAACCATTTGGATTCTAGAACAAAGGACGACATGATTAATAATGTGAGAGCATTAGTTTAAATTAGTTTTTTTTTTAACTGAAACAGAACTAGAACCTTTCAACATGACAATAAACCAAAATATATCTGTAAATCCATGAAAGCCTGGAAAAAAATTGTTCATCCATCCAGCTCCTTACAAGGTGACTGGCCTCTATCTCCATCAATCCTTGGTAGAGAGGCTGAGTACACCCTGGACATGTCACCAGTCTTTACGGCACAACATAGAGAGACACAAGAGAAACAACCATGCACACACAAATTAGAGAGACCAATTCACATAATGGCCATGTTTTTAGACTGTGGCAGTAGGTAACCAGAAAGAACTCACCCACAAAGAGACTCCATGTCATAAAGACCCTGACCAGAATTTGAACCCAGCTCCTTGTTTCTATACCAACTTCCACCATGCAGCCCTAAAGCCAAGAAATTATCGTGGAATGGCAGAGTCTGAGCCCACACCTTCATTAAATTCCTGCAAAAGGTGACTTGAAGTGGGTTGTAGGAAACCCCTAAGCATCACACCACTGAAAGTGAAGATTGGAACAGACTTTTCTTAAACCAATGTCAGAATATGGCAGATGACTGAAGGAATTTCAGCCGTAGGTCATAACAGTGCAGTAAGAAGGTACATTCTCTGTATGGATAGACATTTTGGTCATTATGTTTTGTTTATTGAGAAAAACAAGACTATTTTCATGGTTAATTGTATTTGAATTATTTTTCAGAAATAGCAAACATTTTTGTAAAAAACATTTATTTTCCCATTTTGTGCAAAAAGAGCAATGGGGAGTCCTAATTTCTTTAAATGGCTGTATGTATATCAAAAATGATGCATTTGATGAGATAGGATAAAATAGATTTCATTATATAATCATTCAGATATTCACAGATAAAACCCTCCAAGGTCAATAAAGAGCTCAGTGCTCTGTTTCTGTTTGCCATACAAATCTGCTGTTTTCAGCAAAGAATTCAAATAAAGGTTATGATCCATTTTACCATCAAATAGCTTGTGAAGCAGCACCAAAATCAATGAGAATAGGATAATTTTCTGTGGTGTTAATGGAACATCATGAAACACATCTGTCTCGTTCACAACCTCATGATCTTCAGTAGTTAAGCAATAATTTCAGTGGTCGCCTCTTAGTCTGTCAGACATTCAGGATCACTGAACTTTGCTGCCTCCAAGTGGACAAAAACTTGAGCAAATAAACTCAAATCTATCCAAACATTTTCTCACACATTGTAGCTTATGAGTGGTTTAATTATTTTAATAAATTTATTTAATTTTGCTTTGCTTAAGAAAGGTCCAGCACGCCATATGTAATTCAGTGCAGATGGATATGTAGCCAAGTACATAGAAATCAGAAAAGAAAAAATCTTTTTCCTCTAAATTGTCATTAATATCTTTGTGGTCAAATGAATGTCAATTATAAATTGAGTAATTACTAAAAGGGATGGGATTATTGGTTGATTGAACAATAAAGGTTTCACAGGTGGAAAAAAAATGGTTTATTTGCAAAAGTAGAGAACATAGCTTCTGAAGATTTAAAAATTTCCTTTTGAGTCATTCACATAAATATTCTATAGCTTAGAGTGCAGATTAGCACTGCTTCCTGAGGTTCATTTTACTTCCCTGGAAGCGAAACACACTACATCATGCTCTAGCTGTCCAACTCGGTTAAAATTGTGATATATTAGAAGCCATAAGACTGAGGAAGTTTTCTCTGCATGAGTGCCATCCCTCAGTGTTGGTGTGCGCTCCTGCTGAAGTCTGCATATCCTGCCTGCCGCCTTGTTAACCCAGAATACCCTAAAGACTTCCTCTGTAGCTGCCGAGACACGCTGTGAAGTCGTCCAGGTTTCCATGTAACTCAAAGTGAGGAGAGGAAAAATGGAAGGAAAGAAGGACGGTAGACACGGTGCCCAGATGTCTCCTGAAAGAGTGAATCTGAATGTGATTACTCGCTAATGAATGTCATACAATACAGTGAGAAATTACAGTGAAAGTTTGTTAGACTGAAACCATCTATATTTTTTATTTACTTCCATTAAAGTAAGAAACACATCATCATCATTTTTGATGAGTGTCAAAATCAAGAAAAAAAAATCACTACTGTGACTTCGCATTACATTAAAAGGGCAAATTGATTTGATTTATGTAAATGAAAAGTTTACTTTGCAACCTGAAACGAAAAGCCTTGCCAGTTTGGCAACAGAATGTCTCCATCTTGTGGCTGATGGAGACATTCAGCTCATGTATTTTTGTTGGCCTGAGGTGATGTTTTTCATCAGCCTTATACAATAATCCAAATAGTTTAGATGGGATGAATTCGGAGAATCAGAGTTTATCAGGAAATAAAGTGAAAGTTTGCTGAAAACTACAGACAGCAAAATATAACTGAGATTTATTACTTTATCTTCTAAACACACAAATCAGAGGGATTGTATAAATCAAATTAGACTTTATTTATCTTTTTTGATGGAGCTGCTTTTCAAATAACAGAAAACTAAACATAGCACTTCATATTTTTACACAATCCTTTCAGGCAGCTGCACTTATTGGTTTATATATTTCAAATGCCTTGTATTTTTCTCGTTACATAATACTTTATTTGCATATTTTGTCAAATAATTAGAGTATTATTACATATTTTAACATATATTGTAAATATGAAAACTCAAGTTTGAGTTTCAAGCATTCATCTGGGGTTAAATACTTTATTTTTTACATTTCAAACAAGTTATAGGGCTTCATTTTACCTGGAAACTTTTTAGTAGTATGTAGTTTAAATGCTGTTTCATTATACTCATTGTGATTTAAAATGCTCATTTGTAATTGTTGCTTCTTTAGATTATCTTTTTCAAAGTTGTCATTTTCCGCACATTTACTTTCTGAGATTTACTGACGCAATCTGAAGCAATAAAATGGTTTGTTTTTAGACGTGGTCTTTGATTGTTTTATCAGATGCTTCAGTAGTAAAATTAAGTTTTAATAAGAAATCATTCATGTGTTTCATACGAGTAATACATCAAATATATACAAAATGTCAAAAGCTTCTCATTGAGGTTAGGATCCGAAGAATTTCCTGGCTACAGACCCAGAATGCTAATGTTATGGCATGATATTCTGTTGTGCAGAAAAAAACATAGCTGGTCGATATAATACCCCTGGATCATAGGGGAAAGTTGTTCCTTTAGGGATTTATAATACATTTATTTGCGTTAATATTTTGAGAGAAATTTTAATTGAAGCTCATGAAAGGGGTAAGGTTTTTTCCTGCTCAAACTCCTTTTTCCAGTAAAGCAAAGTCTGAAATGTGTCTTGTTTGAGAAAATTACTTTTCCTCAGTCGTTTGTTCTGACACTTCCAGCAGTTTTCAGCCTGTCTCTGAAGATTGTTTTGAAGAGACATTGGTTCTTTTCAGTCCTTTTTAACACCAATGACCAGACCAGCACTGAAAAATCTCAGACTCAGTTGTGTTCTGCTAGTCCCAAGCAAACTCTGTACTGGACATCCATGCCCTTAGTTAGAGCCTCTTTAGAGGATGGCTTTGCTGCCGAACTTCTTGATGAAATGGTTGACTTGGGTGCAGCCTTACCAACAGCATCCTCATCCTTTTTCGTAAAGCCAGATGATGCTAAGAGATGATATTAATGTATGTACTTAGAGGAAGCCTTAGCTGACAAAAAGATTTTAAGCACAATTCCCAAACAAAGTGATTATTCTGCTTTTTTGGTTTCATTCTTGATTTCTGCTGCTCAACTCATTGAAAGGATTAAAGAACAGTGCAAAATATGTTTATTTAGTTAAAGATTTTATTTTTTTACTTTTACATTACAGACATTTTCAGATTATCACTCTTCATGCAACAAAAGCAAATTAAAAATCTCCACCAAGACACAAATGAAGCGGTAAACTTAAAGTTAGTTTGAAAACTAACTTTAGTCAGTTTGAAAACTTTTGGCATTTAAAGCACCACTTATAATATTGTGACAATCGTTTTTCACACATCGTTTACAGACATAAATTATAAATTGATTTACACGCTAAAAGGCTTTTTATAGCCTTTATCAAACGAATACCTGACTTCATAATCAACAGATTTGTTATGCTTTCCTTTGTCGCCCTCTCGTGGTTGTCCGTGTCTTTACAGCTTCTCTTTGTTGGCTTCCTCCCCCTCCCCCGCCCCCCTCTCCATTATCTAAACTGTGATTGGTTCAAAACGCCATCGTCCAACCGTGGTTCATTTTCTAATACATTCAAGCTCCACCTTCTTGTGACCAACCACTCCTTCTCCCCTTCAAACACACGTCCAAGCTGCAGCCCAGCCCCCTGCCCTGTGGTAAGAATGGACGGCGACGCGGTATGATCTGAAAACATAATATGGAGGAGTCGACATGTTGATGGAGGTGGTGCATGGAAAATGGGTGAATAAATTTACAGGTTTGCATGTGCACTCCTGCACTTTCATTCATTCGGCGCCTTCTTTTTCCATTTGGCGCAAATTGTGGAGATTATTCCTAATTATTATTATTTGTTAATGGAACCAGCAGCAGGGTTGGTGTGAACTATGATCGGCGGTAAACGGGCAGAGGAACGAGGAGAGAGAGATCTGGATCAACGTAATCCATCTGGACTTCAGGAGGGGGGAAGAAGATGAGGACCATGATGGCTCCGAAGATGAAAACAGCATTATTCGTAATTGTGCACTGGGGTGAGTCCATGCTCGTCTGTGTTCTGTCTCCCGACCGCCTCGCCATCTGTCACAGAAGGAGACGGCTTACTAAATAAATCCATTTTATTCTGATGTAATATACAGCAGATTGGGTTGTTCTAATGTTCCAGTCTTATACGAATTATCAACTCACCGGTGAAAATCAGAATCAAACCCATTAAGCACGCAGTCATGTTTATTACCCGTAAAGCAGGCTCCATGCTGACTGGATGCTCCACTTCACCACAGGTGTTTCTTTTCCCACCCTTCATTTCATAAAGCCCTGAATGTTGGTATTTTATGAGCAATGTTTGTCAGATTGATCATATGTATTACTGGGAAGCTTTTTGTTTTGCCTTGGTGGTTTAAGCTCCAATTAGTTTGATGTGATTGCATTGTGTGGTTAATGGACCACAATGAAGCAAGACATTTTCAGGGATTGATGGTAATGTGGAAAATAATTTAACAGATACATTTTTCAAAGGAAAAAGCAGGTGAAGAATATCAAATAAATTCAATAATGCAGCAGCTTTGATGTTGAGGTGTGGCACCAGTGTACAAAGTTGTCAGAAGAATAGCTGACACTTTAATGATCTTGCCTCACTATCTTCTGCAGGGCAACAGCACACTCTGTGTTGTAGAGCTGGTTTTATGTCTTAATTATGCAGTATCCTCGACTTGCTCACCCAAAGCTCTTCGGTTCATCTCATGTGTTCAGTACAATGTCCAGAGATTGAACATTATAATGTTTAAATTAAAGAAAAAAGGACCTGTGAAGCATGTATGACGAAGTAGATATTTTTGTTTGCTTGTACAGATTCATTCGATAAATTATAATATTATATGAAAAGTCCATTTATTTCAGGAACTTTCTCTCTAAGTGAAACACATTATATAGATTGATTACACACAGATGGATGTTTGAAAGCCTTCATTTATGTTAAGTATAAATTTCTCCACTTACAGTTAATGAAAATATGACATTTTATTCTAAAAACAGAAATGTGGGCTGAATGAAAAGCTGTAACTATCCCCCAAGTAACATCAACCTGTCCGTTCATCTCCACAATTGGCTGTAACTTTGGTGAAATATATCAGAATTGGTCAGGGGCATGGTTATGCTTTCACAGGGGGTTTAGTTACATATTAAGTTACTGTCATGATGATGACACAGGCTGTGTCCTCTTGGACCTATTCACTTACAGGGTGACACAGTTAAAGGTTGTTACGTTCAAATGATACTTTTAATCTGACAAATGAGACATATATTTTTTAATTTATTGAATACGGCTGTATTTAAGCGGGATAACTGGATGATTTGGACATGAGTATGTGTAGGATTCCCTCACCTTTCAGCTCCATAATAACAGGACAGGCTTCCTCTGAAGCCTTTAGATCAATAGGTGCAACAACCATCTCCGTGTTTGTTTTGGTTCAGAAAATGCCCCCCAGGCCCTGATGCATGGGGTCTAATCCATACAGCATTGAGTATTGTGACGAGCTGTGGTGTCCCCCAGCTCTATCAGGCTGAGTCCAATGTTAATTAGGACTTGATCCGCTTAAGCCTCCCTCTAGTCGCCCATGTCATTATCTGTGTGGGTTTGTATGTGTGTCTGTCATCAGACGAGGGCTTTTATTTTGGTAAAGGGTCCAGTTCCAGAACTGTATACACCCCCACATAAACAGTGGACGGAAACAACCGCCTCACCTGTTTTTCTTGTTGTTACGGTAGTTAAGAGTCTTATGGAGGGTTAGTCAGAGGTGAGTGGCGGATATATCTGCAGTCTCTTACGACAGAATCTTGTTTGCGGTAGCTTTGAAAAGACACAGGAGCAGTTCAGCTGCCTTTTGTCTTGCTTTCTGGGCAAATCGATAACTGCACTGACACTAATTTAATAACATAACCTGTGGGTGCTGTTGGGTATGTTTGCTTTGCCGTAGTTTAGTGTTTTTATGCTCCTTTGTACAAGAGATGTGGCCAAATAAAGGGATTCAGATTTTTTATGAACTTTAAATTTTGGGTGAAATTGTGTCATTTTTAGAGTTCTTCTTGGAATTTCTTTCAGTATCAAAGAATTATTAAATTATTTTTATTTCAGGGGTTGATCACATGAACATTTAATCTCAAGATGAGCTGACTGTTTAGCTTGTTTTATTTGACACACAGCATAAATGATAAAGATGTCTACATTGGGAACGTTACCACTCATTTCAGTCATTACTAAAGATGCTATTCTGGGTTTTTTTTCATGGATTATGATATATTTTCAAATAGTTATCTCACGAATTGGTACTATTAGGTAATTTTTTGTTGACTTTCTGTTTTGTTTTGCTTTCAAGCATCTATAATTTCTTGTAATGTTCACATTTTGCCTTAATTTATTTAGCATTTTGATCCTTTAAAGTTTCCTTTTTCCAATTGAAGCCGTATGCTTCCAATGGTCTCTGAGTTTCACATGCTGAGAGTTGAAACATTTAGAAGGATTTATTTTTAATCTAAACTTTCTTAAATAAGGGTATTTTTATTTGTAAAACCAGACAGAGAGGCTCAGTAGAAAACAATGGACCTGGCTGCTCTGAGGAACTCATGCTGAATATTTCTGCTTAGAACCAAAGACATGTTTACTAAACATATATAATCCTGGTTGATGAATAACTTGTGATATTTCAGGTGATATTTCATAACTTTTAATATCTTCCTGATTCGATTTAGTTCCTCTGTTTATATAAATATTTACTCAGTTTCTATCAGCTTGAAATTGGGCCCTCTGACTTCCCTTAGTCATATTAACAGGAATCTCACTGAGAGCTCTAACCTTCAAGGCTCCTATTCACACCATTTTAATTTATTATTTGCATAATCACTCATCTATTCCAGACGTTATTCATTTGATGCAAGTATGACTTACCAAAGTTTACATAAAACTTTCTTTCCTTCTCTATTTATCACAGTGTTCCAGTATGCTATGTGTCGGGACGTGACTCTTCCCAACGGTCCACTTTTCCGTGTCGCCGGATTCCGTCTCTCCTTGCCATGTCAAGTGTCCGGATATGAAGGTTCACGTACCCAAGAATTTGAGTGGTTTCTTTATAGGAATGATGCTGGAGGAAAACAGATAGGAGTGGTGTCCACCAGGGACAAAGGTTTCCCATACGCCCCATTCCAGGCCAGAGTGAGGAATGGGGAGGTGAGGATTGAGAGGGATTCGGGGGATAAGGTCCGATTGGTGATCCAGAGGCTTCGAGCTGAAGACGAGGGGAAATATGAATGTTATACACCCAGCACGGACAGCACCTACCAGGGAAATTACAGCGCGTTGGTTCCTGTCAAAGGTAAGACAAACTTCTCTGAATGCATTTTCAAAATTGGTTCCCTTTTATAATCGAGGTAGAAGATTTGATGTTAAAATGGGTTTACAAACAACAGTTTGATTGAAAATGTAAACATTAATTTGCTGAAGTTGCAGAACCAAGAGAACCTTGAACAAGTATTTTCTATGCTACACTGGAAATACTGGAATGTTACTGATGATCTGGAAACAAAATGGCTATGGAGTCACAATCTAAGAATTGTAATATTAAAAGTTGAATTACACTAAAATGAACAATTAAAAGGATGTTTCCACTGAATAAATAGTGTTATACCCATTACCCAGCTAATAAACTTCACTACTGGAAGTAGTGAAGTTTATTCTCTGATCATTCTCTGATTTATAAAGGTTCAGAAGATACACCTCAGCAACAATGCACAGACAGCGAACTGGCAGCTCAGAGGCTAAGAAACCAAAACTATAAACAAATAGAGAAAAAAAAATCTAATTCTAGTTTCTTTTTCAAAAATGGTGGAACAAAAATAAAAAATCAAGAATTAAAGACAACAAATCTTTATACTTATTCAGATTTTGCACAGAATATTACTTCATTTACATATTAAAAACAGTTTGTCTCATTAAGATTATGTCTTTTTTAAACAAAAAAACAATGATGTAGACAAATTACATGTTCATCAGACATGCAGCATAAAATTTATGGGATAAATTGGAACTTAGATCAAAATAAGTAGAAAACACAAAGTTACCCTTTTCTAGTAGACTAATTAGCATAGCTGCTTGTTTGTTTGGCTACAATAATAATAAACCTTTTTGATAAATATTTACGCATTTATAAATATTAACACTGCTGACTCCTTTCTTACAACTAATACCCGATAGTTTGGAAAGAAATAGTTAAACTTTAACTTAATTAAACATAGCTAAGTTTTAGTTAACAAAAAATGCTTTATGGTGGGACCAGTCTGCATATTTTTTGACTTGCATAATAAGCAGGGCAAATATTGAAGTATTTTTTATGAATTAATGTAATTTGAATATAAAGAGATGAGGTGGTAACAAGTCATGTAATACCAAGAGGGGTTAAAAATAATATATGAATGAATGCTAATGTTTTGTAGCAAGATCATGTCTTTCATGTATATTTTGAGGAAAGGGATTGTTGATTCATATTTGATTTTTGATTATCAAGTTTGAAGTAAGCAAAAGTGCACTACTATTAAACCAATATATTTGGTTATTTTATAAAGAAAATCTGCCAAAGAATTTTTTTTGTTTTTTCAAATAAGACAGGTTTGATCTTGTTGTAACTAGACTAGTTCTAGAGTAGCTATGATGTATACCAGAGGAAAAAAGCCATCTTCCACATTCACTAGTGGACAGCAATCTGTCTTACCAGTCTTTTTATTTGGTGCTTTTTTTCTCCTGTTTTGTTTCCCCACAGTGATCCCAGACTCACTCCAAATCAGCTACATTCGCTCTCTAACCAGCCAGCCTGTTCCTGAAGGATCTGAATTAACTCTGACGTGCTCATCCAGCATCCAGTCGGAGCAACTCACCCATCTGTCCATCGTGTTTGGGAAGCGGGGTGGTAGCGAGCGTTCGGACAGCGGCGCTGGCAGTGAGGTCAGCACGATTAGAGAGATCATCTCCATCGACAAGCTTCTAGGGGTTGTTCCAGGACGGTTCTACAAGAAACGCTACGATGATGGAGAGATCACACTAGAGAAGAGGAACGGAGAGGGTGGACAGGGGTTGTACGTGATGAAGATGAAGGCGGTGCAGCCCGATGACGCTGGGTCGTATTTCTGTGAAGCCTCACAGTGGATTAGGGACCCTGATCGAACGTGGCAGAGGATTGCTCAAAGGACCCTGGATATTGGCAACTTGACCATTCAGCAACTGGGTAATTAAGGAAGTGAAAACAGATTTTGTGTGGGCTTCAGGTGCCAAAAAGCACAATCGGCACAAAACACAACTGCTAATGTGTTTTACTACTCAAAGCCTACCTCAGAGGAATTAGCAGAAGACTTGAAATGCTCAATGAGCAAAACATTAACATAAGCAAGGCCTCAAATGAAAAACAACATAGTTCTCCTTTTTCACAAACTGTCCTAGCAATATTCAGCCAGACTGTGGAAAAGTTTGTAAATAGGCAAGGCTTGGTTTATGCTCTGTGTGTCACTGAGTACCATGGGCTCTTTCTAGAGTCTAGGCGCGCCAAGTTTGTGTTGCAGAGGCCTTAACTGAGTGCGTGGCTGGCGAGTTCAATAATAGGATAAACATTTGTGTTCATTTTACTGCCAGCATCTTAACCACTTGGACATGGAAAAGGTAGATGGAAGAAGTTGATGGGGCAAATTCTTTTCACAAAATCCCAACTTCAGCTGGGAACTGTTTTCAATTTAAAAAACTTAATATATCGTAAATCATTAACTATGCTAATAAAAAAGTACACAAATTCTTGCCTTAATACTAAAAATGACATTTGGCTTAAACAGTTGTGAATTAATTTCTGGCAGATCTGTTCCTTTGGTGCCTCAGCAGTCAGATTTTCTGACTGACAGTCTAAATACGCTGGCCTCTTTTTGCTTATCCAGCTGGATTTAATAAGTCAATAGCCCACTGCCTGTATGACTGGATAGATGCCTCTGGCCTTGCAGCAGATCTGAAGGATTATATAATCTTTTTTTCCCACCTTGGCCTCCTTCAGCCTGCAGAGAGGATAACTTTCTTTCTGTCAGACCAGCATGTCCATTATTTCTTTTAGATAAGCACCACTGTGTTGGGTAATCCATCTTCAAACATATTTTTCTATCCTGCAGTAACCTGTTACATAAAGTAAAAGGTAAATATCTGCTGTCAGTACAGTTTCTCAGTTCAATAATTTGGTGTAAAGGTATACTTGTTAATGATGCATCTCATTTCAAATAATTAAACTTGATTGTGTTGCAGAAAGAGATAATTGTTGCATTATGCAAATATTTGAAAACGTTTTCTATGATAAGATTGAGGTCAAACTTTAAGCTCATCAGTGCATCCATTGTTTTCCTTTCTAAAGACACTGAGAGGCTTTATGTCATTGTATATTGTCTGTCTTGTTGTTCAGCTCTTACAATGGTCTCTTTTTATCAGCTTAAATAAGGTATTTTCTTTTTTTTTCTAAAGGAATATTGTGTGATTGTTAAACAAGTCTTGCACACACAGCAGGTTAGTCTTAATGTGTTTTTACACCAGTTAAGTTTATTTACATACAAACCGAGGGAGGAAAGATGGAGGATCCCTGAATACAAAACGACTACCACACAAGTTAAGCTGATTATAATCTTTTACAAAAGTCATCATGTAACTTCCTACATTTTGTGACGTCACCATCACAAACCTGAATATATTCTATTGAAAGACCAACACAAAGGAGTAAATACTCGTGAAATGAAAAGACAAAGTTAACGTGTTTACTGAAACAGATCTGAAAAGTGTGAAGTGCATTTGCCTTCAGCCCCCCTGAATCAATACTATGTAGTAACAGGTTTTGCTGTGTTTGTTCTGTATCTACCAGCTTTGGAAAGCAATGAAATGAGACCTTTTTTGGATTTCTTTGAACAATGTAAAAGACAAAATGAATAGGCATATTTGCAGATTCTCCCACCTGAGCTGTGTATATCTGCAGCTCTACCAGAGTTAGCCTGCTGTCTTCCTCACTGGTTCTTTTTGCACAGCCATTTTCAGCTGATTGGTTGAGCACGAGCCTTCGAGATGCTGAAAACCCAGGATTTTGTGTTAATTAGTTTCCATTAATCTTCATGATGCTACTTGTTTATAAATTTGCTCTAATAAATCTCCGAGGCCTGCACAGAAAAGCTGAATTTATACAGAGATTAATTTACAGTGTGGGCTTTCTCTATTAACAAGATGGCTCCTGAAGGCATTTAGTTTCACTGGCATTTTCTTAAGAAGTACTTGAGCAAAGAGGGCTGAATACCAATGCAGGGCACACTGTTGAGTATTTTACAGTGTGCTCAAGCAATCTGCTTCTAGGAAACTGGTCTATCTCGCTTCCTGTAGAGATTTATTTAATCACAGTCTAAGTGCCTGTTTGTGCCTTGGCACTCAGTAGAGTTTCGTTTTCATCAAATCTGTCTCTTGTTTCTCTCAAGCGGAGTCTCTGGGTGTAGCGTCTTCACCCCGGGGGGACGTGACTCTCCAGGTTGGGTCCCCTCTCATTCTGACCTGTGAGGTGCTGGGGTTGGCATCTGAGGTGAACTCGGGTCTGCTGGTGCAGTGGATGAAGAGAGGATCAGTCAGCAGTGATGCTGTTGGAGCTGGAGGAGTAGAGGTACTGCCATTTTCATTTTGCTCACTAATATAGAAATATGTTTTTTAATTGTGGTTCATTGTATTTTCTATTATATTGTAGAACTCAATACATATACATGTTTACTATTATAATGTAAAATCCTGGAATAAATCAAAATATTCTCATCAATAAGCTGAAATTACATTGCATTTCTTACTGACTGGTGGCTGGCTGTGCTTCCTGTTAAGGTTGAAGTGGCTCGGATGAGCCCAGACGGTACTGTAAGCTGGGGAGACGACCTCAGCAGAGCCAGCGGCGGCTCTCTGGAGAAAGTGTCCGAGGGGAGGTACTCTTTAAAGCTCTTCTCAGCCCGACCTGCCGACTCAGGCGTGTATCGCTGTGTGGTGAGTGTGTATGCTGGCAGGAAAAACCCCAGCCCATCTACTCCTGCAACGCTCACCCAGAGGTCAGAGGGTGTCACTGTCAACCTGAAGACCAAAGGTAAGCCTAAGATAAAATAAAATTCCCCATTTCTTTAATATTACCTGCCTGAACATGGTTTTATTTTGAAAGAATTGTTTGCCACATTATTTGTTGAAAGCCACAGTGTCTAAAAACAAACATCAAGGAGCATTTTACATCGTAGTGTAATAATGTTTAGCCAGTTGGACTGAATCTAATGGGCAAAGATGCTCATAATGGACAATAACTACATTGCCCAAAATGTTAATGTCTTTTTCACAGTTGAGCTAAAGGAAGAAAGAAGAACACGGGCAACTGAAATGATAATCTCAAATTGAACCAAGATTATCACCATCATGTTATGGAGCAGTCCTAGTCATGCTTTCAGAAACTCTAACAAAAAGTGTTGATGCTCCCAAATGATCATTCTCTGATTTATAAAAATAACTTGTAGATATTGATTTTGTTCATTTAAAGCTTCTGAATTAAACAAATCGGTAATATTAGGACATTGTCAATAAAAAACCTGTTTTTAGTCTTTCTGCTGACAGCAGTCATTAATTATTTATATTAGAAGCAGAAAAGAGGTAGTGTGTGAGAGAGCAGCCAATATACAAAAGAAGTTTTCTGTTTATTGACCCAATTCTTATTTTTGAGTCATAATATTTTAGAATTTTTCATTTCTCAATGTTGTCCTTTTTTCCTCAGATGTTTTGGTCTCAGCTGTGGCTCGGCTCCCGCGTGGCCCCCTGCTGAAACGAGGAAGCACCATCACCATAATCTGCAACGCCACTGTGACAACCACAGGTCCGGTGCAGGTTCAAGTTCAGTGGCTGCAGCGGCCGATTCCTGAACCAGTCATCACAAGGAACTCAGATGGCGCTCCCTTGGACGCTGAACTTGTAGCACAACCCAGGCTCATTGCTACTCTGATGTACAGTGGTGTAGCAAACATCTACGTCAACGACAGTGAGATCAGCATCGACCGGCTTTCTGCCGTCAGCTACAGGCTGAGAATTCACATGGCAACAGTGGAGAACCAGGGAATATATGGATGTCGTGCAGAAGTGTGGGGTCAGGATCCTCATGGAGGCTGGTACGACACGGGGGCCAAAGCAGAGTCAAATGAAGTGACTGTTTATCTGTATGCCAGAGGTAAGAGCCTTGTTGTGTTAAGAACATTTTCTTAGTTATTTGCTAATATTTGGTCACTGTGAACTTCTGAATAGTGGCACAAAGATTCTTGGGGGTTAGCACAGTAATTAGATTTATTTTAAATGTTTAGAAGAATCAACCAGTGATTCTAATTTGGAGCAAAGCCAGCTACATTTAATGCAATGACCTGCCACATTAGCTGAACATTCTGTGTCAATTTATTCTGCCCTGGTACTTTTCTTCACCTTTCATATCAAGTTGCTGAGTCCTCTGTCTTTACCTACGAGAAATATAGATAAATACTGTTATTTGCTCTGTGCACTATGGAAGAAATGTCCAGCCACCAGCTTATGATCTCACTCTCAAACACCCTTCAGATCAATGACCCAGAGTGCATCAGCATTTCCACCTCCAAGTGGCTTAAAATAGAAAAATGAAAGTTCTTTAGTGTCCTAATCAGGTTGTGGACCTAAATCTGACTGTGATGCTGTGGACTGAGACTAAACTGGCCACTCATGCTTGAAAATCCTGCAGCATGGCCACATAAAAACAATTTGTCAAAGAAGTGTGGACAAAATTTCTCCATACAGTTGTAAAGGACTAAAAGTAATCTTTTTGAAAAATATGATGTCAGTTGTTGCTGCTAAGGAAGGCAAAACCAGGGTTTAGGCTTAGGAGGCGTTTACCTTCTCATGTAGAGCCAGTTTGATTTAGATAGACATTTAATTATTTTAGTAAATGGAATTACAAATCACATTTGCACCTGGTTATCTGTGTGTTATACAAAAATTAGTTTGGGGATCTTAAACATTTAAGTGGGTTGAAAAAGCAAAAACAGAATATGTGTTTGGACAAAACTCCAGAAGGAAGTGCCTTAAAGAGCAGTGCCACAGACCTTCAAAAAGCTCATATTCTTTGAAACTTTGAAACATTCACATTACCAAACTATAAATATATCCAATGAAAAACAAATCTAAAGCATTTTGATGTCTTACATAAGAACTTTCTCTCCATTTTTTGCTTTGCTTCTCCAGCTGCTGACCTCCTTCTCATCCCTCTGGTGATCGGAGTCTCATCGGCCTTGTTTGTCGGCATCTTCATCATCGCAACCGTAACCTGCTGCTTTATGAAGCGGCTGGCAAGACAGAGAGCTCCAAAATAGGTGTCCGTGCTGCCGCCAGCTTTTTGGCTTTTTCTATCTGAAGAGGTACTGCAGAGATTACTGTGGCAGGAAAATGTCACCCCACTCCAAAATGACCTCAAGACTAAATTAAGGAGTTTGACATATTTTAATATGGATTTTCTGTGTTTGGACACGAGTTTCACAATTACTGCCAAAATGTTGTTGTTTTTTTTTTGTTGTTTTTTTTTTTTTACTCAATGTCATGTCTTGCACCCATAAGGTTTGAATCATTGATTTATCTGCTACACTTTTTAAGTGGAGTTTATATCTGTTTTTATGCCATGCTAAACCACATTTTCATAATTTTTTTTAAGTTGTGATTAAACTAAATAAGTAAAGATTATTGAAGAGGTTTGAAGCTGAAATCTGTACAGGTTTCACTGAAGTTAACTTCTCTGTAAAAATGATCAAGAATCACAAAGCAATGCCACTCAACTCATCAGATTATTTTTATATGATGCTGGACATGTAGGTCTTCATATGTTTGCTATTGGTGCAGAGTTCATGTGGATAATTATAATTATTTTTTCCGCTTGCTCCTTGTTTTAAACTGTGTTTTTGTTTTGAATGCAAACCCTCACAATGTGTAAATGTATGTGCATGGCTTGAGGCCCTCACTGACAGTCACATGAATGCTGAGCCTCCACTTTCTTAAAATGAGCAGGGACAGTCTGCCGTCCAGAGCCCAGAGCAGCTCTGCAAGTAAACAAAGCGTCAGTCTGTCTGTGAGTTAACAAGGAGGCATATGGCTGGGAACTTTCTCATGTCAAGCACCAGTTGATGCTTCATTCTGTTGAGAACTTTCAAAGCAGGTTTATGTTTTATGCATTTTACTAAGATTAAAGGAGGTACCATCTGCATTGAGTGGAAATCTCTTCAAACTTTGTTGAATCTGCCTGTGAAATGTACTTAATGTAGGATGGTGCTGCAGCACCATGTTTCTATGTAAAGTACCTGTGATTAGCATGCTGCCTCAGTCTGCTCCTTTAAAGCACTTGGACAAAAACGAGTCTGGGACCAAAGCCCATTGGTATCGTTTACGCTATAATCTTCCAGCCAAAAAGCAAATTCTTTGCTTTTTTTTCTTGTTTGTAGGGTCAATGCTTCTGAGTTGCAGAATAACAATTGTGTTTTGTTTTTAAATTATGTGTTTGTTGTTTAACGGAAGCTGCAGTTTTCCAGCCATGTGATCTGATAGTTTGGTTAAGTATCTCTATCATTCTTGTCCTCATGTGGTCCAGAGCTCTTTAGAAAGCTTTTTATGACTATGGCTCCCACTGCTAGCCCACAAAAATGTGTTGGACAGATTCAGTGCGTCTGTACACTTAATCTATCCTCCTCTTCCTGTTGAAAGTTACTCCTGAAGAAAGTGTGGTCTCTTTCTCTCTGCAGGAGACTGTCTGCCTGGTTGTGCTTCCAAAAACCCTGATCATTAATGTTCAAAGACAGTTTGGAGTAACGTCACAGCGATGCTTGCTTCCTGAGCCACTTTGTGCCAGACCCAAAGCTGATCTGTTCCCCAACATGCACGCCCTCAATGTCCTTGCACACCAACGCGGAAACCCGCGAGCGCAGCAGCAGAGGCATGACAGGGCTGTCTGGATGTGTTTTCAGATGGCAGTAAGCGAGTATCTGCGTATTCATCTCTAATCCCCGTATATGGCTGCAGCGAATCCCGCCGCCCTTCCCCCATGCTGCGTGTGGCTCACATTCGATTTGTTTCCAGTCTCTGATCTTTGTGAATAGTTTTTGCACAGTGTCAAAAAATATAAACACTACTGCATAAAATGTGCATTTGTGTAAAATGTTCTCAACAAATGTTTTTGTTAAGAGTTGTTTACTGATGGCATGCTCTACTATTCCTGAATGCATTGTACTGCCATTCACTTCTGTTTCTTATGGTGCTTTGGCAAACCTGCCAGCTGATCAAACACCAATAAAACAATCTGGATTTTCATCGCTGTTTGTCGTTTCAATTTTCAGCCACTTTGTTTTCAGAAAGCTTGAAAATGTTCATATCAGATGAAACTGAAGACATCGTAACAATTTCAGAACATTCTGGAGGCAGGACAACAATCCCATCTGCTGGATGAGGCACATTTGGTTTGCTTTGCAACATTTTCCATTGTTAAGTATGTAAAACCAGAACATTTCTTGTGGTTGCTGTCATTTTTGCATTATAAAAACCAAATCAGGCTCAACTCAAGATCCTACAAGCTTTGTAAAGTAACTATGTCTGAAAGAAAAACGAATCTAAAACTGTATGGTCTTTTAATTCTGGATTACTGGATTTTAATCATGAAGAAGATAATTCTAATATTTTGAATCTTTGTCACTCCCTGGTAAAATAAGTAACTTAACCCCAGTAATGCTAGTATTTTACTGTTTAAAAATTTGCACTTTTCCTTCATCCTACATTTATTTTCTTTATATCTCAGTGTTAACGAGCAAATTAGGATTTCTGAAAAAGGTGAATGATTTCAGAATTCAGACATGCTGCATTTTATTGTGCCGTTACAGACAGAGTAATAATCTTAAATATTTGTTTATTTTGATGATTATGTCTTAGAGCTGTTAAGAAGCCCATTATTCAGTTTCTTTACAATTTTAATGTTACATAGGATTAAAAAACTAAAAATTAAATACAGAAATGTAATGCTAAATCTGCTGACAGGACTGCTGTCACTGACACCCTCCATTAGGAAGGTAAGCCAAGAAAGAACATTTATAAAGAAGCAAGCTTTTTGCAGATTGAGATATCCAACACATTGAAAGTTGAGTGGAAGAAAAACATGTTTTACTAAAAGGTCACAAGCAACATAGATAACTGCACTTTTTAGAAGATTGTAAGACCGCATTCACAACTCAAAGCCAACAAAGCAAAGTAACAGAGATACAATCTTCTTTTAAAGCATCTGGGGCTTCCTGAACACTTAAGCAGAGCCAAAGACAGATAAAGCCACTACTGCACTGAAGAAGTGATGAGCAAGTATTCTGTACAGTACATGGACATACTTTTAAGTACTTTCTAGTATGCTGAACACTTGAAATTTCTGAATCTATGAGTAATATCACTTTTATTTTTGTTATCAATCACTTAAACTTTTTACAGATTTTCTAATAATTTGCTGAGACGCACCTGTAGATGAAGGTGTTTATTTTAAAGAAGAATATTTTAGATTTAGTAGAAAGAGCGAGAGAATACAGTTAAAGTTTCAAAGGTCTTCTGTCAGTATAAGTGACAAGTGCTGCAAATACTATAGGCAACATGATACAGGAACTGGACTGCAGTTCTGTTCGGTTTGTCTATGTTATTGTGTCTGTCCCTATGAAACAGACTGAATAAATAAATCTGAACATGTTAAGTTCTCTCATATGACGCCTTCGCTCTGCCCCCATGTGGTCAAAGAGAATGAACTCAGAATCTCCGGCAGGATTTGTTTAGATTCAGATTTCTTTTTATGACCTTTATGGTGTCAGTGATTTATTGTCTGATAACTGCATCCATAACAGAAACCAAATGTGCAACAAACTTTTCAGAGTCAGATAAAATGTCCTTGGCGATTTAAAGAAATATCAAACTACCAGTGATCACAAACTTTTGTGAATAATTATAAACACAAATCTAATGTATTCTACACTTCCCTAAAAGCTGCCCAGCATTTACCTCGCTGAGCTCTTTTATTGTGCGCCATCAGTTTACAGAGCATTACATCACTAATGCAAACACTGTACCAAAGTTAATCCTCTCCTTCCTGCATGATGCTGCAGGCAGGAAGAGGCTTTGTGGCATGCTGATAAGACACCACAGAATGTGGTTGGTTGGCTGGTTTACACAGCCGCTCCACCAACCAATCCCTGCCAGGGAAATGTCAAACATGTCAGAACTAAAGTTGTGATGCGCTCTGCTGGCCAGAGGCACCATCAGGTTCAAGGCCAGTTTAAAGATGCTTCAAAACTGAAATGATTTTTTTATAGAACTGAAACAGAAAGTGTAGCAAAAAACATAGTAATGTTTTTAATACAAAAACAGTAAAAACAATAAGCCATTAAAAGGGAAATTGTGCTTTAAGGCTCAAGAGATGTAAATTTCAAAAATTAAAGTTCAAAGGGATACAACATATAACTATAGACAGCTAGAACTCTCTGGAAATACAGTACTTATTCCCTTATATAAATTATTGTTTATGTGACCAGTCTAATATTACATGAAGTAACATAATTACATGGCCCACTTCAAAACAGCAGCACATACTTTTAATAAGTGGTCATCAGTTTTCTGGTGTAATGTTGTTCTGTCTCTTTGTGATCAAAGAAAACAGTTAATTGAAAAGAACATCTTAAAATTACTAAGTAACAAAATGTTTTTATGGTTGTCTGTACAAAATTTAATTCGCACATGTTTCAAGTTTTCTTCTTCCTTGCTTGCTTTTCCTTCTTTTCAGTCCATTTTCCAGCTTCATTCATGTTGAATCCATTTTAGGGAGAAATGTGGCTTCATGTCTGGTAGCTGCAGGACCAGGATCGAGGCATCAACAGCTCCCACAAACTATCCTGTTTGTGAAAAATGAAACAAAATATTTTTAAAAATCACAAACAATACCAATTTTTTCATGTTGCTTGTTTTTTTTTTATTTAAATTTTTATGTTAAGTATTTGTTCTTGCCATGTAACTAATTTTTAGACAAATTTGTGGTGAACTTCATAATTTTATGTTCACGTTAACCCATCTGTCATGCCAGTCCTCTAAGCAATATGTTTACTTGGTTTCTAAAGGTTAAATCCTCATGAATTTTTCCCACATCTGCCATTCTTCCATTGATTTGTGTGTACACTGAAAATGTTTTGCTCCAGATTATGGTAAAGGATTTTCTGCACATCTACACCAACACAATCTTCCTTTTATGTTATAACAAATAGGGAATAAGCAAATAAAAAAGCTGGGATGATGAAATCCTTTGCTTCCCTCAGTTTCCTCTTATAGTCGGCACAGATGTGTGAATCTTATCTGACATAAAGTTTCTTGACTGTGAATCTCATTGCTAGTTCCACATCAGTTGGCATGTCTATAGCAAAATGTGTAAAAAGGCCTTAAAATAAATTCATGTTATGTTGCAGTAGAAAACATCACACAAAAAAACCTGGAAACGTAATCAAACATTCAATCTGAGCACATTTATTCAGTGGACAGAAAATACATCATGTTGAAAAATAACTCATTGTCAGGTTGTTTTTGTGTTTTGACTTTTTTTTCAGTCTACTTTATAACTGTGTTCTTTAGTTCCTTATTTTGATGACATCAGCCTTGATTCAATTTTACTTTATTTCAGTTCTTTCTCAGTGAATGTAGGTTATTATGCTTAATTTATTCATTGTGTGTGTCTTGTGTAGATAGTTTGATACATTTCTACTTTTGAGTTATTGTGGAAGAGCCAAAGAGTCAGGTTGGAAATTCCTGGTCTAGTATGTAAAGGCTTAATATGTAGAAATGTACTTCATGTCTACTATTAAGTATCATGGTGGATCAGTGATGCTGTGGGCCTTCTTACTTTCTAAATGCCCTGGAAAACTTTCTAACATCATCGTTGTTTCTAAAAACACACAAGATTGTAAATAAAACTCCAGTGGCCTCTGACAGAAAATTAGAAACAGGCCATCACTGAAGATATTGAAATATGGCAAAATGTCAATAGATGTGGTGCAACAGATACAAAAGCAGGATTATTGCTTGATAATTTCAGTCCTGAAACTAAGATCTTGTAGAAAATTAGAGCAAAGAAAGATGGCTTACAATCTCTCTGTCTCTCTCTTTCTCTCTTTCTCTCTCTGTCTCTCTCTCCCTCCCCCTCTCTATCTCGATCTCTCTATTTATGCAGCAACCTTGTGAAATGAGAACATTAAGTGCTGTGTTCTTGACAAAATCAGGTCATACAAACTGTTCGCTGTAAGACTGCCAATTCAATGTTACACAAGATTTGTAAAAATATTTCTGAATAAATTTCAATTCTGAATTTTTCTAAATTGTGTGAGATTTTACAACAAAAGCAATGCAGTGGAATATATTGTGCTATTTTATACATCCACACGACTGTATAGTATGCTCATGTGGTAGTCGTGCTTTTTTTTTTTTTTTTTTTTTTACAATCCATTTGATCCAGTATTAATGCCAGTCAGTTTATTGACCAGCTGGCCTACTTTTCATTTATCTAAAACACGGGTCAAAGTTTTGCCTAATGATCTCTTTAATCAAGAACTTCTTCATTAATATGATGTAAAATGTATAAACTCAATTCACATGGTAAACCTTTTGTGTATATATCCATATCAAAATATAAAACAAAATGTTATATTAATCTACTAAGTGATATGATCTCATATGTAGCAGCTACTCATACTGTAAAGGAGTGTAAAAACATTTCTGAAGCAGTGTCAGCATATTTTCCACCTTTAGCTAGAGAACATACCCCTGCTGGTGGGCAGTGTATCTGGGCGTACCACTCCTGGCAGTACAGACACACCTGGACACCCTGACCCAGGAAGAGACACGCCCACATGATGACATTGAACACGGGGCTCTGTCGCTTATCGGTCATGGTAAAGTTGAAAGCCACTAAAAGAAAAGGACATAAAGGTGGTTAGTGATGATAAATGCAGTTAATCAGTAATGCTTTGTTTGAGTTGTGCCTGAGAGACAAACAGGTGAAAGGTGAAAACTCAAAACTACAACAACCTAGTTGTAATTTACTGTTCTCTTGAGAAAAAAACACAAAACAACAGAGAAACCGTGTGTAGTGTGAGCAAGGCAACCAGCATTTGATTACACTGTGATAACAGATGAAACAATATGGAGCTAATTTGTACATAGCTTATAAACTATTTAAATCTCACTCTGTAATTTTGCCCTTACACTGAGGGCTTCTTAGAAAGAATGTTAAAGAAACATCTGTTTCCATCTGA